TCAAGAAATGGTGCATTGAGGATACAAGACAGACTGAGCAAACACAAGTTAAATTTGGGGCCTCTGCTGATAAGCCCTCTGGTTAAAAAAGCTGGCACAGGACCCTGCAGAGCGGGGAGGATGCATTTCTCAGGGTCCTGTCTATCCCTAGGATAAGAGCTTCTCTTTGGCTTTGAATCCCCCCCTGGCTGCTGAATTGAGCAGTGACCGTAGTAAAACCTTTAGCTGCCACTTAGCAGAACAAAGTCACTGTCGCTCACGTCTGCCTCCCTCACAGGGGATCAGACACAAGGCAGGCTGGGCAGCCCTTCTCTAAAGACAAAGCATTTCTCACGTCTATCAGTCCATTGAAAGCTTTCTCATTCACACTTATGTTAACATTCTTATCCCGGGAAGGTTAAAGTTCACCAGTTTCCCAAGAAGTTCCTCCATGGACTGTTTTCGGCTTAAAATTTCAGAACAATTCTTCCATAGATGCAGCTGTTGAGCATTTGTGCCCTCGCAAAGTGGAAGGGAATGTTCTGAACTCCCCCCCACGCTCCCTGCATTGAGTGTTAGCTCATGTCTGCAGCCCCCTTCCCAAGAGCCAGCCCCTCATATTACTAAACAAGCAACAACACTGTGTGCACAATATAATTTGTCCTTTTGTCCAAGGTTTTCCATTGCAAATATTGATCTGCCCACCACCCAATGCTAGCTAGTTTAGACTGAGTCTGGGATTGAAAAACCACCAAAATACTTAACATGCCAGAAGGATTTTCAGCTCCTGACGTCAAGGTGCTTTACAAACTGCCTGTGATGCAGGGGGAAACTGAGGTATGAGGTATGACTTTGGAGAAAGTCGTAATTTTGCTTCACAAAGTCAGTCCCTTTCTTATGAAAGGGTTTAGCCTGTGCTCCATGAACAATCCAACTGTGTCATCCCACACTCTGGAAATTTCATTCAAGTTTAGGCTAGAATTTCTATAGCTGTGCTATGCTATGTGTCTACCCTGAGGGAGGGGCTGCAGCAAATTTCAAAGTCAAAGAGAATTTAAGTCAAAGCACCACTGATGCGGTTGTAGTTCATTCACCAATTAACACACTTGCTACTTCTCCTTATGTCTGCACTTGATTTGGTGGTTTAGCTGAATTCTGGTAAAGGCAGCAAAGCTGGGATTATATGTACTGTTCTGTGTGTTTAAATCTGTACAACACTGGCTCTTTTAGATCTAACAAGTAAAATTCCTTCTGATTTCAAACAACCTCTTATGATATTTGTCTGTTCCCTCTTCACCCTCCCCAGTTGTCTCAGTGCCTTCTTTGTCCTCCAGAGGATCTGCGGAAATCCCTGGCTATAAAACTGTAGCAATGTTCTAAACCCATTTATCTTTGCCCAGTGATTTTGGAGGATTTTATCTTTCCTCTTAAAAGTTTTGGGGATGTTGAGTTTGATTTCTCCCAGTTTTACTGGCAGGTCTTAGTGACCTGTATTAGAGTTTTATATCTAAAAGCAAGATACAGTCAGCTTTCTGTCAGAATATGACGACACTGTAAATCTGCCTTTTCGGGCCCTTGTGTCAGCCAGAAATGCTGCAGCCACATGGCACACAGCAGTGATAGGCTGCAAATGTGCCCTTAATGTTGCACCAAGCAGCTTTGTGCCAGATCAGGTGTCAGCTGTCCTCTAATAGCTGGTGGAAGGACAGGATGAGCACTGTACCATGTGCACTGGCTAATTTGATGGAAATATGATTATCTGGCCTTTCTAGAAACAGATCAAACATGCACTGCGTGTGAGCCAGGAGTGCACAAATCTGGAGATAACTGTGGCTCTGAGTTTCCCTCATCCAAACTGTGAGCTGGCCACTGAAATTAGATAATTGCTAGCAAAGAGTAGATAATGGCTAACAGCTTGACTAAAAGTTCTTTGCCCTCTTCATTGTTCAGCTTTCTTTCAGTAGAAGGGACATTGTCATTTTGTTAATAACCTAGTCACAGGCAGGATGCTAATTCCTGTTCTCTTTCAATCTCTCGTTACTCCACATCCTTTCCCCTGGAAAAACCAGTCCATCAGCCCCCCGAAGGTCCCTAGCAGCCCTTGACATTCCAGAAGCCCACTGTGACCTCACTCACAGCTTTATCTCCATCTTCCCGGGGAGCAAAACCCCAGGCATTCTGTCTGCTCTCACCTCAGCTGCAGTGAGCATGCCCAACACAGCACAGCTGCACCATGAAACCAACTGTGATGAGAACTGTCGTTAATATCAGAAGCTGGTGAACGCTGCTGGTGGAAGGTAGTGATGCTGGTTTTAGTTTTGTTTTGTAACAGCTAACTCTGCTTTACATCAGAGGCTTCACCACTTGGTTGTGCCCATAACCCCATGGCAGAAAGGAGCTGTGGATCTTGGGGTGAAGGCCAAGATAAGGACAAGTTCTAGTGAGCAAGTTCTCCTTGCTCACTAGAAAAGAGCGTAGTTTCTGTTTGAGGACACACGAAGCATGGGTAGCTATGAGGCTGGTAACTGCCCTTGCTTTCACTGCCCCAGCCCTGCAAGCTGGAGAACAACAAAGCAAGGGAAAAGGGAGGTATTGAGCAGCAGAGGCTGCTTTTCAGGCTTTTACCATTCATCCTGTACCGTGCAGAGTTGTTGCCGGCCCACACTGAAGGTTAACAGTGACCTCTCAGTGCAGCAGACTGTGTTTGTACAGTACTGGTGCAGAGTCCCCTGGGCTCTGTAAGCCTGCACAGTTAAGCCAGTGAGCAGTGATACAGCCAAGAGGTTACGGAGCAGCAGAAAAGAAAGTGTATTAGTTATCGACCAGTGCTTAGGTTAGCTGTTTCTTACTGCCCAACCTGGCTCCTATTGGGCACCACCTGATGCCTGGCTTGTAATGAATCTCCTCTTGGCATCTGTGTGCTTCCACTTAAACTGCATTCAGTAATCAGTGAGGCCTGAGCTGCAGTCAGGAGCCTTTGCCTAGGAAATTACCTCTGGAAAGGAGACTCAGATCTCGAATGCACCTCTTAGAGAAGCAAGACGAGAAGGAATCCAAGGTAAGAGTTGCTGTTCTTTATGTCTTATGTATATGATATGTCAACACTTTGGCTGAAGTATCTGAGGTTATTCATAACACAGAGTTCAAGCAATGGTCCTCGAGGTGGCAAACAATCCTGCTCTTGCTGACTGCTCGGCTCCAGAGGCGTTGATTTCTTCCTTTCAACTGACTGGTTGTAAAAAATGCCAGAAGCTGGCTGGCTGTGGCAAAGGACCTGTGAGCCTGGCAGGAGGTCCCTTCTTTGTGGTTAAGCACTGACTGTTGGCTGTCCTAGAGCTGGGTTTCCTTGATATCTCTATTTCTAGTCTGGCATTGCTTTGTTTGACCAAGTTTTACTACTGGCTTGTGGGCTCTTAATGCCATATGCAGCAGCTGAAATCTGTTCTGTGCAGAGATGGGCCTCACGCTGCTCTTACAGGCATTTCCCAGTTACATATGGTTGTTGGTTAAATGTTATTTTCAAACAGGTTTTTCTCTTCTGCTCCTTAATTAATAATAACATGGTAAAAGAGAATAATATGCATATCTGGGTTTGGTTTAAGGGTACTGTTGAGCTGGATTGCCTGCACCCAACCTTTGAATTGTTGTTGAGGTTAAAGGAATAATAGAAGAGATTACCACTACAGATTTTCTTATCAACCTCATGACCATGTTCCTCAAATCCAACATTTATCTAGAAGAGCAGCAGGTGTCAACCTCAGTCCCTTTCTATTCTGTTGTGCTTTGTGAAGGAAATGACTCCCAATCTTTCTTGTTGCTCATATTTCAGGGATAGATGATGCCTGTTTCTTACGGCCTAGGCAAAATTTCCAAGTTAACAGTTACAGGTTTGAAATTATTCAACATGAAATACTTGTTGTCTGTTGTGCAAACTGAAGTCCTGCAGCGCTAAGTCAAAAATGTCTCAGTAACTTTATTGTCACTTCTCTTTAATTTGTCTGTATGTACATACCAGCCACAGGCTATAGGGCGGTAATACGGTTCCCCTCTTGCAGAGTGGCTGGCAAAAACATGTTCCTTGCTCTCTGTGACCAGCTTCTCGTGTTAAGGAGTTAACTTGACAAACACATAGCTTTGCCACTGCAGTTTTATACCTACCTGCTGCTTAGCACCTCCTTGCCAAAAAAATGGTAATCAAAAATGAAAGTGGAAGTTTCTGTTTCCCATCTTTCCTGAAAATTAAATGATTACTTGAGTGGGTCAGTGTTGTTGTTCAAGTGTTACCAAGCTGGAAAGGAAACATTGTTATTAAGGTAATATTATTACTGCTGTAACCTACACTTGACCTTCCTGCATTTCCTACTGACAAGGGGGGTGGATGAAACCTAAAATGTGGGTGTAACTCAGAGAGTGTGGGTATTTCTTGATATCTCTGTTCTATTTCTGACAAGTGCTGCCACACTGATAGGGCAAACTGCCCTATGGCTTGGTAGCTACTTATCAGCCCAATTCTTCAATGTAAAGCAGAGAAATAATGAGAAAACATTGCTGCTGCTTTTTCATTTCCTGAAGAGTCTGGAGTTAGCATGTGGGACACAAATGCGATGACACCGGGTAGATTTTGAAATATCTATAGCCACTTGTGCTTACAACAGTGTTTACTCAATAGGAGAAGAGATAGGTAGAAAGGAAACCGGTTTCCTGAGTTTAACAGCAAAAATATGAACTGATTTGATGGAGTAGGAACAGCAGTCGCCCTTCCACTAGTATCTGTGGTACACGTCAGCAGAGATGGTCTGGGACAGGGGTTGAGGGTAACCAGGACTGGGTACTGCAGTGTCTCACGTGAGGCTCTCTGGGCCTCTAGAGAAGCCAGGAGTCTTGGCAAAAGTTCCATGTGTCACACATAAATAGAGGCGATGTATCTCAATGTTTGTTGGTTGTTTTTTTTCAATTAAGCTAAACTACAATTTATTTATTACAGTTCTCCTTGTGGGAAACTGAGTGTTCAGGAAGCAAATACCTTAAATCTCTCATACTTTAGGTTTCCTCTCATCCTGTACATAACGAGCGCTGTTGTAGTTGTCTGTTTACAGTGTGTTGGCCTAGTTGAAGGCTGTTGTGGACCATCTATCTCTGCTCAGTTCAGACCTGGTCATGGAAACCTGTCATTAAAATCTTCAGCCTGAACAAGCACTACTCTTTGTATAACTAAGTGCCTTAAATGCCATTCAAGTTTCTGCAGTTCCTCTGAGCCTGTGCTAAGGCAAGGTACTAAGAGCTCTTCAGCTCTGATGAAGATTTGCTGCATAATAACTTGGGAAAGTGTGGGAAAGACAAGTGTTCGTGTGCACAGGACTGCAGGGAAGTGAAGAAAAAGGGCCTGTGGCACCTTTTATTCCATTCTTGAAGCAAGACCTTCATTCTGTTTCACTTAAGGAATAATTGCATTGACCATTATGGCTTTTTCTTCTAGATTTCTCTTTGTACTTCCCATTGTGTCTTAACCAACAGTTCCTCCCTGCTCCGTGCCTTTTGGATAGCAATTTGATTCATTTTCATTGACTTGGTTTGGTTTTAAGACCTGAAACCTTGGCCAACAAGGTCATTCTGCCCCCAGAAATAGCGCGCTCTGCTTCAGATTAAGTCACCAATTTTTATTTTTTTCTTTTTAAACCATGACAAAATACTGAAAAGGGAGGAAGGGCAAAAAATACCTATTGATCCCTTGGTAAGTACAGTGGCAGTTGGAAACGTTCTTAAATACCAAACTAGAAGGACTGATAGCACCAAAATCTGTGAAATACAGTGAACCTGCACAGTGTGACCTCTCTGAAGGGGGTTTGTTGAAGAACAAGGGTGTTTAACGTGTGCCTGGAGAGGAACCAGGATGTGTCTGTGCCAGCAATCCCAGAGATGCAGAGGCTTTAGATAGCATTTAGATACAGAAAATCCTGTGGCAGAAGAGGAGGAAGGGATCAGCCAGGGGGACAGAGGAGTTGAAAGGAGAATGCACTGATGACATGGGTATGCAGATTGCAGAAGAGGTAATTGGCACTTCTCTCTGGAGCTCGGAGGAGAGGGATGAGGGCAGTGCAGCACTGCTGGAGGCTTTGCTTATTTGTTGGGTTTGTTGTTATTTTTCTAAAGACGAAAAATCCAAAGGAATTGTCGGGGAAACCATCCAACCAAGGCAAGCAAGCCTTGGGCTCATCATCTGTCCATATTTTGCTGCCCCAGAATCCAGTGCAAAGCAGAGCCATGGAGAGCAGGAATTTCATTGTATTAGGAGATGGCCGTTATGAGGAGTGCCTTATGTTTTCTTGCTACTGATGCATCTTGGTCCTTCAGGTTTTTCTCTCCAACTGCATTCATTGTTTTTCATGTTTTCTTCAGTGACTCTGATAAAGAAGAGTGGAGGGTTACCCACCTTTCTCCCTGGTTACCCACATGCTGTAAGGGGAACTTGAAAGAGGGCTCTTAAAAGGAACTTAAGAGAGCTTCTTCCTTGCTTTGTACAGCTAAGAGCCTGTGACATCAAAGCTATCTGCTTTTTGAGTGTGCTTTCCACCCCACTATCAAAAATGCTTGCATGGCCTGTGCAGTGAGAGGAGGGGATCCATGGCAGAGAACGTGGCTACTGTGACCATGAGAGTGGCTCATAGGCTGCCTGGAGATGATCCATCCTGGAGAAACAGCACTTGCTTCCTTGATCTTTTTCTTTCAGTGCAGTTAAGTTCTGGGTGGGATTTTCCTCCCAGATTTGCCAAGCTTTGTGACACAGTGTGCTGAGGGTAGGAAGGGCTGTGGTAAGAAATGCAAGTCCTAGTCTCTGTGAGGTGAAGACAGTTTTTGCAGACAGCGTAGGCCAGGAGGTGCTGGGATGAGGCAGGAGGACAAGAAAAGCATGGTCAGTTGATTATTGTAGAAGACAGTATGGGTTGCCCTCGGTCAGCTGAAGCAGACCTTGTGTGCTGTTTGTTTTCCATAATAGAATATTTTTAAAGTCTGAGGACTGGAGCTTCTTCTCATCAAAGCTTTTCAAGATAAGACCCAGGCACAAAGCCTCGCCGCCCGTTCCTTTCTGCTGTCCACCAGCCGTCCTCGTTTACTTCAATGACAACTACAATGTCTCCTTCACTGATGTCCAGTTCATCCGTATTCTGAAAGGAAACAGGGAAAGGAAATGTGGTGAGCCTGAGAGTACAGGAGAGCCCAAGCATGTATCTGGTGATGTTTTTTTACGCTGCCTTCCATCAACAGTCTGCCAGTGTCATTTGGATTGGGAAAGAGCCTGCAATACCAGACAATGAGAGATTAAGTGCTTACTAAGATGACTATTTCCTAAGATCCTCAAATTTCTCTGGTCCCCATGGTGTCTAGTCCTGAGGAACTTGACTATTGTATCATTGGAGAAGGCTGGAAAGGGTTAAATCTGACTGTCCTAACCCAGCTAACCATGACCCTTTTGTAGTCTGCAGGTGTTGCTAAATAAAACAGTGCACAGCTTAATTCCCAAGGGAGATAAAAGCAGTGTCTCTACTAATCCAGGCTTTAAATAAGTCTCTCAGTTTTTTTAATACAGAACAGAGGTGACCAGTGGAGGTACCAGGACTCTTCCTGAGATAGGTAACTTTTATCTCTGGGACAAATGGAATAGTTGCAAGTAAACTATTGCTGAGCTCTCCAGCAGCTATCAGTCTGTTCAGTGGTGCTGTCCTATTTTCCATAGGAAACCACTTTGCTACCCGCAGTGTAGTAAAATAGAAAACAGGGCAGGAGAGGCTTCCAGATATGTTTGATGCATCAGCTAAATCTAAATTTAATGTACCTGAGTAGGTAAGAACGGACTCGAAAAGCGAGAGGCCTCAATATACAGTATACTAAAAGTAGTAACAGGCTCTTTTCTCAGCAGGCAAAATCCATGTGTGTCATATTTTGAAGGCACCTCCTGGAGTAGGGATATGATAAAGAGATCCCGCAGTCTCCTCAGGGGAACTGGCATTAACAGTGAGGTGCTTTCAGCTGTGCTTGGATGAAATTTCAGGCAAATAATAAAAGAGGGTTTAGAACAAAGCAAAACAAAGAACATATAATAAAGGTGTCAGAACACTGCTGTACCTAGAGAAAGCTCTCCTTTCCAGCCCTTTCTCTGTTTTCATAATTTATCTGGCTACCAGGTTTTGTCATATGTCAGCATTTCTTCAGTGTGGGTTATTGATAGCAGTCCCCTTGGTGCAAGGGTCTGTCTGCACTTCTGGATGCTGCTCCTTCTGCTAATCTAAAGCTAATAAAAGGAACCTTTAAACTGACATGTAATTAAATTGTAAAAGTCCCATTAGGGGAGGCTAATGGTTTAGCGAGAGTCCAAGAGGTTTTAGAGTCCATCTGAATAAGAAAATATTCATAACCAGTCCATTCATAACCTTTGGTAATGGTACAATGCCTAGGTAGGTCTGAAGCCAGTGAGAGTTCAATATCCCAGTTAAGGATGCAGGTTGCTCTTTATAAGAGTCTTTTTTATAAGAGTCTTTTGGTACCTGGACCCATGGGCTGCTCTTTATAAGAGTCTTTTGGTACCTGGACCCATCCACTGTGATTCTGCAACTTGCAACATGGAAGTACAGGGAAAGAGTGTCATTTATGGGGATTCCATCCTCTCCAGCACGGAGAGCACCTCAGCTAAAGCCAGGGTGTTAAACTGGAGCAGGACTCTCCAGATAAGTGAGATAAATAGAAATTCTTATCTAAGAATTTCTTAGATAAGCATCTCTCGCACATTCTTACACAAGGAATCTGTAGCCATTTTCCTGAGAAGAACATTTCACAATATATGTGAGTTCAGAATGCACAATATTGCATACATAGCCATCATGCCCTAAAAAAATTAAGTTTTCCTTGCGTTTGTGGTCTCCTGTACCTTTAGAAGGAGCTTGTAACAGCTCAGCACTAATTTAGGAGCGATTACAAATGTGTAATCACTTGCAAAAGATGTTCTTGTTTCATCTCGAGGCAGCATGGTACAGTGATGTGTTGGGATTATTGATCAAGGTCACTTGCAGAAGCCAGCAGTTCTCTCGGTGTCCCTGGCTGTGAAGTGAAGATAACACTTCCTTCTCAGAATTAACACTTTCAAGATGTTTGGATCAACATCATCTATTTTAAATCTGATGCTATGAAATATTTATTTTGCAGTCTTCCGTTACCTGGGCTGTGTAGTCATAAAGTACTCTGTAGTCCTGTGATGACGTGATTCCAGCTTGTTCATTTACAAAGATCGGTGCATAGACTCTCTCTGTCTCCTCTGCTGGGGACGGGGGTGAGGGGGGACAAAACAAAAAAACCCACACAGAAACAAAGAGTTCAGTTGCTTATAAATGCATGGGATCATCTGCAAGAGTTCACAAATACAAGGGTTTCTGTTCTCTCTCTGTCTGGAGATGTACATGTATAGAAAAGCTGCTGTGAACTGTAGGTAAAGTCTTGCACAAGAACTGTGTCCCATTGATTAGATGACAATACACCCATTACACTTTGTGGGAGGTCAGAAACTAGCTGTAGCCTTGTCCTGGTTGGGAAAAATGTTTACCCTGCTAAAGCACAATCCAAATGGTCCAAAGAGGGAAATGCTGTGACTAAACTGCTTTAAAATGGTTGTTGCTGGTGGTATAAAATTCTAGCAGTTCAGTGACTCACATAGTGCTTCACTGGACATTTTGCAGCAGTTTCCATAGTTCCCAGACAGCTATTTGTCACTGACGTAATTTTTTTGGGAAGATGTTTTAATCCAGCTTGTCATAATTAGGGAAACCTGTTACTCCTTCCCAGCATCTGCCTGGGAGCTTCCCCTGCCACTGAGGTGAGCAGAGGTTTCCCATATATGACTCTTCAGTGGGGACAACTGAACCCGTGTCTTGCTCTAAGGAGCACTGTCAGCTCCTTGACTTTTCAGATTTTGACAGACAAACACGGGAGCAGTTGAAAAAGCTGAAGGCAGAGAGTGTTAGCCATTCCTGAAGGTCTTGTCCAGGGAACGTTCTCCCCTCCTGTCCACAGCCTATGGAAATTCAGGAGTGAGTACCCTCAACTGCTCAACACCGCATTGCTCGATGGGTGCCGGAGCCCGAGCTGGTGCCTGGCAGGTCCAGCTGGTGTTGGGTACCACTGGGGACTGTCCCCTGGCTGAGCACCAAACACAGCAAGTGAGATAGCCCGGGCTCGATTCTGGGTGCCCAAGCAGGCAGGCCTGGCAAAGGAGATTGATTTGGCTGTGTTTTAAAGCTCTTCTAAGCCAGCTTTTTGTTTCCTTTAGGCAAGAATCACAGTTAAAATGTTTTCCATTTAAATCAAACCAATAAAAATGTCATAAGCTGTTACTTTCTGCATAGTCAAAATACCGTTTAAATGTTGTCTGATAAATGCCTCGTTTCAAGGGTTACAATAAGACAGTGTAACTGTGAAACAAGAGGGATATTTGCATTCCTAAGGAATGAATCTGGTCTGTTAAAAACTTCATGTATTCCCTGGGGCTTTTCAGAGCTACGGTGTTCTACCTTAGGAGAAAAATAATATCTCAGTCAGACCGTGTTGTTCTGAATGTACAGTTCTCCCCCTGCCTAGACAGAGTTTTTGAAGATTCTATGGATTATTTGGCGCTTTATACTGGGATATTTGTTTAATACCCATCTAAACTAAATTAATTTCCAGACTATTCTTACTCTTGACTGCCAACACATGAATATCTGCTGTATCATTTCTGCTCCGTGTCAAAGCTTGATTTAGCAAGGTGATCTAAAACAAACACATCTGGTAAACTTATTTCCTGGAGAAGGCATACCAAGAGGAGGGGCTGAAGGGGTGACACTTTCTGTGTTGTTTTTGCTGCTTCCATGCAGTAGTCCGGAAAATCTGCAGGACCAAGAGAAACCAATGACAAAATGAGTGAACAGGGCTGGATATGAGCATTCCTTCCTCTCAGCTGCCTGACTCAACCTTCCCTCCATCTGCTGCAGCACTGGGGAGATGTCACCTCTTCCTGTGGCTGTCTGCCTTCATTTCTGCTGGGGATATTTTTATCTTCAGTTAAAAATATGTTTTAAAAAATGCAGCAGAATACTCAACCATCAGCCATACTAAATTGTGCATAACATGCATCAGATAACGTTTTGTTGTTGATCCAAAGGCTCATGGTGCAAAAAATATTTCACAATATTAATATGATGAGAATTTGCAGTTGTTTGTAAGAGATTACAATCTCTTTGTCTTTGAGGAAAACTCTGATACAATTTAAAACTCCAATTTCACAATATTAATATGATGAGAATTTGCAGTTGTTTGTAAGAGATTACAATCTCTTTGTCTTTGAGGAAAACTCTGATACAATTTAAAATGCAAAGCTTGTATAACGAGCTTTTCTAAAAACTGTGAGTTTATTTGAATTTTTAATATTTTTTTTTTAAATCTATCCCTAGTTATTTTCTATATCACAGCTGGGTACTGGAGACTAAGTGACACTATGGGTTAGGATTCTCAAGCATAGATAAAAATAGCATTGCATGCTTAAAGCATATTTAAAGGGTCTGATTTTTCAGCTGCTGAATGCTCAATGTTTCCGGAAAATGGACATCCAGCTCAACAGTTTGGGAAAAACTCAGACTGAGTGTCTCTGGGCTGCTTGCCCATGCAGGGCACGCTTGTATTCTAAATGGCAGTACAATTGTGTTCTGTAACTCTCTGGGATGCAGCATTAGAATTCATTAGTAGAGAAGATCTGGTTTCCGACTGAAAAAGCAAAGTATTGTGTATAAACCTTATCAGCTCACTAACAAGCCTGGACCACGTTTTAAATGGGAGATCACAGCCCACTCCTTGTCTTTCCCATGTAATGAGGCTTGTCAAAATATAAAGCTCTTCTGCTTTAAATATGATGCCATTCCCACTGTGAAATAGCCATTTAAGTATAAAATATTTAAACCAATAGATCTGCTGTGCTCTTCTGCTGATATAACTGCATCCACGCTAGGGCATTTACCAGCATAAATAGATCAGAAAAAGAAGAATCGCCTCCCTAATCATCACGGTTATTCTGCTAAGTGTTTTTTCCTTTGGTTCTAGCTATAGAGAGCAGCTCTTTGTTCCACTCAGCTGGGCGGTGCGGTGAGCCAGGAGGTATTGCTGGAGAAGACAGCTCTCCCCAGCCTTTGCTCCCAGCCAGATTCACCTTTGCCCTCCCCTGAACAAAGTGGTTTTGTTGCCGCGCGCCCTGACTCACCAGGAAAGAGGAAATGACTGAATGCAATCCATTGCTGGCCAACTAATTGTTTGATGAACTCGTCCCCTTGTCTCTCTTCCCACTAGGCCATGGCAAAATTACCCTGACCCTGCTTTTAATAGGTTTACTTCTTCTGTCAAGTTATATTTATTGATACGTAGCTGCCTCTTGCTACAGTGCAGGAAGTAATAACTTTCCAGGTCCTGGTTCCTGTCATCATACGTTGCTGTTCATATGGAGAAATAACTCTTCTGGGAACCAAAGTTTCCTACTCACCTCTTCATCATGCCACAAGAGTGGGTTGGGCTGCTGTTGCTCCGGTTTGGTTCTCTGCTGTAGTAGTTCTCGTAGCCTATTGCATCTGCACCAGGGCAAGAAAAATGAGATGTTCAAACAGGCAAAACTTTTATTTTTTTCCCCCTCACCAGAATGCAACCGACCGTAATGGCCATCAGAGGTGGCTGAAGCAGCTCAGAGGGACCTGAGGACTTGATAAAAGCCATTCAAGTGATTGTAAGCAGATAGGTCCCTGGTAGAAAGCCATGTGCAAACTGAGACAGCACAGTCGAGGTCCTGAAGAGCTATTCTACTCGCTGTGGCTAAACCTAAGTGAGACAGCAGTTTCCTCCATGGCTGTTTCCTCTGTTGCCTTAAATCTCAGGATTTAGGAGAGCAGAGTGTGGTCACTGGGAGCCTGGGACCATGCTCACGATACAACTGGCTGCAGTGTGGTTTGTTTATTTTTTTCTTGATGTATTGAGTTAGGAATTTTTGTCGGAGCTGGGGACATTTCTGAACATTATTGCCAGCAGCAATAATGAGCAATTTCCTGGTCTGTGCTTGTGCTTGAGTGTCTCCCTACCTTCCCTATCTCCCCCATCCACCTCCTGAGAGCTGATTTGCTGTTTACCCAGAGATATTTGTTTTTGTTCTCTCAAGCATAGTTATGTTACAGTTCCTTCACTCTCCCCTATGGTGTCGTTAAGGGTGAAATTGAGACCATTTCCAAGTCTAGCTTTACAGATTAAATGGTTACAGATGGATTTGTTTATTGTACATCTAGTAGTTCCCAGTGTAGTTGCTTAGAGCTGGTGGCCACGCACCCTTTCTTCCTGCTCTGTGTTAAAGCCAAACAAACGTGAGTGAAGTCTGGGATTATCTCAGTTCTGATAGCAGCCAATTAAGAAAGACACATTGGACTTGGGCTAAAGGTTGTGTTGACATTCTCACACTGGGTCAGCCAAGATCATAAGTAGAGCGGGCATGTTCAACTAGGGAGTGTGAAATATCCTTACAAGTAAGATTTTCAGTAATTAGGGACTTTTTTGTCCAATTCAAGGGTCTCCTATTACCTTTCTAGAATGTCACCTTGTTATAGTTTCTAGTCTATAATGCATTGTAAGGTTAGGTAGAAAAGAAGAGTGAACAGTAGCATCAAAACCCAAAAGGTTTGGTCAGGATGAGGGTCACGATGCAAAACTGCACGTGGGTTTCCTCCTGCATCTTGCAAATAATAAAAGACATCAACAGCTCACCATGTGCTACTGCACAAACTCATTAGGAGAGCTGTGGAGGTACCAGGATGTTACTTCCAGAACATATCACCTTCTAGAAGGTGGCAAAAAAAACCCAACAAAAAAGCAAATCAATGGTTTCTTTGCCTTTCATAAAGCTCTCAAGTGTTTTTCTCACCTATTTCTTATTAGAAATGAGTCCTGACATAGCCAAGAGCTGTTTGCAGAAAATTGCCTAGGCGACTGGGGAATGAGAAATCTCACATAGGAGGGGGGAAAAAAAGGAAAAAAAAATCAAACCAAACTCTAGCCGAGAATTATAAATTTCTTAGTATGCAGAAGTCGTTTCACACTGTTGCAAGGCACAGTTCTCCCTTCTGCCAGTGAAAATGTAGGTTTTTCCTTGGTAAATGCTCCTATATGATTGAATTTAACTCCTGTATGTGAAGAATAAACTATAGCAACAAAACGGCATTCAGTGCATCCGCATCAATACATTAGTTTAAAAAAAATCCCCAAATCCCAATTCTTAATCATCATAGGTGTAATGACAGGAAGGCTGAGTGCTGAGTTAGGGACAGCATCCAGCTCTGCTGAGGATGTTCCAGGCTGTAATTGCCACCAGCTCGGAGCTCCGTACGAGATAATTATCCCTTGGGCCAGGGTATTCACACTGCTGATGTTTGTACCTGTACAGCTCCTAGCACGGGAGGCTTTTATCAGTATAACATTTTCTCATGCCAGTATAGCTTATTCCCCATGCTAAATGGGGGTAAGCTCTGCTGATGCTGCTGAGGGCATGCTAAGGGGATTTTCTCTTCGGTGTAACAGTATGGTGTCAGAGCAGATAGTGGAACTGAAACAGTAGCTGTGCACAGATTAAAAAAAAATAAATGGAGGAAGAGATCTTTTCAGCATAGATATGCATCATCAGCTAATGAAGAGATGAAATAGGATATTTTTTTTTCCTCTCCTACAAGGGCTGTGAATCTTTGTTTACTGCAGCAGCTGCACAGAAGTGCAAGCATTCACTCAGTCTCTAAAAACCTTGTATTGCTTGTTGAAGTAAGAGGGTGTGGTTTGTGTTTGGCCATTTGAATCATTAGATAGCCTCCCTTACGGTGATGTTTTTGGAGAACTCCTACCCCGGAGCAGCATGTTTTCACTTTAGCTCTTAGCTCTTGCTGTCCCAGTCTCCATTTCAGCCCAGAGGTTCTGATCACTGAAGTCATTGAAAAGGCTGCTTTGGCTTGAATGGGCAGCCTGTGAACCTTTACATTGCTTCTGTATGCTGGAAAAAAGCCAATTTCATTCAAAATCTCCCCCAACTGGGGTCTTGCCCTTATACAAACAACTTCCTGAGAGGACAAAAGATGTTATTCCCTATTGGGCAGGTGGAACAAAGCAGAATACAGAGTCTGGTGTTCTCTGTGCTGCAAATGAAGAGGCAGCGTCTCTGGCAAGGGGACACCAGGGTGTAGTTACATGGTAAGTTGGCTCTGACTTGTCACCACTGCAGGAAATTGAGGTTGCCATCTCCACGAGGCAGTTTGCCACCTCCTTAGCGGTGCCAGTTCAGCTCTACTGTGAAATGAGCCTGGTTGAAAAACCAAAACAATTCTTTTTTTTTTTTTTTCCCCCTTTCTTTCTTTTTTGGAGGGTTATTTTTAACCTGGACCATTCAGTTATGCCCCTGGCAGCCCTGCACAGGGAATGCTGGCAGCACAGGGAGGGGGAAGTGAGCCATGGTGGGTGGGAATGAATTACCAGAGCAGAAACTCCTTCAGCTTTGGCTTCACCTCCAAAGGACATGTTCTGCACAACTGCAGCCTTAGCCTAATGGGTGACTCATCTGGCGAGACCAATAGGAATAATTACCTGGAGGTTGTGTTCCTGTCATTTTAGTCTTAATGAAGTAGTCTATGTCTGACTCTATGATGCAGTTCTCCAAGCTTACTCGAACCTCTTCATACAGCTACAAAACAGAATCCAAGAACTTAATTTAATTTTTAACATTTTACATTCAATTAACAATTACTGCTCTTCTAGTACTTTCCTCTTAAGAGGCACTTTATACTTGACACATGTCTGATCTGGATGGGTCTTTGGCCCGTCCCTTGTACAAACATTCTTGTAAACACAATTGTTTATTTGTGCTCTGGATATTCTTCTAAGCAAGGAGGACAAAGGCAGTCCAGGGCTTTTCAATGCAATAAAAAAATTAATAGCAGGAAGCAAGCATTCAAAGGCAAAACTAGGGTATTCTTTATGCCTCCAATTTTGAGACCATGTCTGGATGCCTTTCTGAAAGTTGTGCATGTGCCCAAATGTATTTGACTGAATGTTCTGGTAGCTGGAAACATTCCCCAACAAACTGAGGGGAGGGGACATCCAAGTGTCACCAAGTGTGACACGGGCCATCTACATCCAGGCATATGTCTGGTTTACATCTAGAGGGATCAAGCTAGATTGAGAGTACTCCCCCTCACTGAACATGCACAACAGCCCATGCATGCAGAGAAGGGCAAGCTAGTGCTGTGTTGTCAGAGCACTCTTCCTCCTCCTCTTCCTCCTCTGCATGTGAAGCTACTTGGCAGGTGCCCCTACCTCGTCATCCTTCACACACTGCATGGAGAGCTGGTTGCAGTGAACCCACAGCGAGTTGCGGAGGATGGTGATGCGGTCGCACTCCTGCAGCTGGAAGACCTAAAGCCAAAGAGAAGATGTGGGGAGGCCTCATGGTAGTTATTGACTTGCATTGCCGACAGCCATGAGGCTGGGGGTCCTCTAGGCCGTGTTGCTATGTCTGCAAACTGTTCTGAAGGGTCCTTTATAAAGGATTTCAGAGTCGGGGTCCTGTCTCACCATCGCACTGAAATATTGATGTTTAACAGATCAGTAGGGTACTGGCATGAAAGGGTTGTAAAAGGTAGAGCCGAAAATGCCCATCTCTGCCATCTAAATCTTCTTTTCAAACTTTTCTCTTTTGAAACTACTTGAGGCTCTCTGGAGTCGTCTCTATTAATTTTGAAGGTTATTTTCATGGTAAAGAGAAGGCATTTTTCTTTCTTCAGAATTTACTCCCCTCCTTCATCTGTCTGATTTTCTCATGCTGTTGCACAGCTTGAGAAGAATGAAGGAGGAAGAGAGAGGAAATGTGTGAACTGAGTTGGGGGAAGAGGCAGATAAACTCTTTCTGTAAAAACGTTAAAAAAAAAAAAAAAGAAGACCCTGATCTCTAAATTGTGCTGTTATAAGTAGAACATCAATTTTTGGTTTTCTATGAGGTGTGAAAAGCTCAGATGCTTCCAGCCATCTGTTTCCATCTCCATTTGCTAGTAATTATGTCCAGAACATCACAAATGTATACAATATTCAGCATAACATTCAGTTGGGTACACTGCCTGCCATCTAACATCTTACTTCTGTTTTTTTTTTTTAAGATGGTAAGTCCATCAGGGAGTCAGCTGTCATTGGGACCAGTTTCTGAGAGAAAAAGCTCTTAAAGAGAACCTGGAAGGTGGAGAATGAGTGTTTCAATATCCATTCTGAACAAAAACCTGTGGCTGGAGCCTAGACCTTACGGGGCTACTGAAATAGCACAAGAGCCAACTGGGAATTTTCCAGGTAAATGGTGTCCTGTTGGGAAATGGAGCTCATAGAATGGTTTGGGTTGGAAGGGACCTTAAAGATCATCTAGTTCCAACCCCCCTGCCCTGGGCAGGGACACCTCCCACTAGAGCAGGTTGCCCAAAGCCCCGTCGCTGGCCTTGAACCCCTCCAGGGATGGGGCATCAAAGAGAGAAGTGTTGTGACTCGGCTTGTCAAGCCCTTTGCAAAGTCCAGCTGGCCCTTGTGTTAAACAGATCCCTTGTGCCCCAGTGGCTTGTACGGGGCTACTGAAATAGCACAGGAGCCAACTGGGAATTTTCCAGGTAAATGGTGTCCTGTTGGGAAATGGAGCTCATAGAATGGTTTGGGTTGGAAGGGACCTTAAAGATCATCTAGTTCCAACCCCCCTGCCCTGGGCAGGGACACCTCCCACTAGACCAGGTTGCCCAAAACCCCATCCAGCCTGGCCTTGAACCCCTCCAGGGATGGGGCATCAAAGAGGGAAGTGTTGTGACTTGGCTTGTCAAGCTCTTTGCAAAGTCCAGCTGGCCCTTGTGTTAAACAGATCCCTTGTGCCCCAGTGGCTTGTGCGACAGACCAGACTTGTGCCCAGTGAGCCTGGGCATCTCATGCCAAGGAATATGGCTCAGCCCCCGTGATGAAGGTTGTCCCAGCCAAGATTCTTAGGCTGTGGATGTCCAGAGCTCAGCTAGAGACCTAAGCGACCTGGCATTTCCAGATTCCCCACTATGCAGCCAGAAGTTTGGAATCTTAAGCTGCTTTTGTACTAGTTTTTAAATGCCTCTTTTTTTTTTTTTTTTGGTAAAGTTTTAAAGGCCTAAAAAGATCTATCAGTTCTTCTGTCTACAAGCACTTTTGAAAGAAAGCGTTAAAGATGCCCTTCCTTTATGAACGGTTCTGTGGGCTATTCAGAATTTAGCCATGTGGGAGAAATGAAGTGGTTCGGGATGTGGAACACTTTGCTTGTTTGTTGGCTTTTTAAGAAGGGGGGAAATGTGCATCTTGGGAAAATTAAGGCTTGGCACAATTTCTGTGGAAAGTCTGCTGTGCCAGTCGTGGGACTTTCCAGTCCTCCCAGACAGGGAATATTTAAGAGGAAGCAGAGAACTGGAAAGCTATGCTCCTGGCATTTTATTTCAAGTGGAAATAAAGCCTGCAATGAGTAAACATAGCAAAATCATACTTCAGCAGATGGTCAATGTATTTGAAGGATTAATATGACCAAGCATGTGGCTGATTTGGATGTCAACCAGTTCCTGTAAATTGTTGTGCAAAACTTACCAGCCAAGTGCAAATCTCCTTGTCCATCCTCAGCATAAGGGAAACAGAGATTTTTCCACTACCACTTTTCAGATGGAAGATTACTCCATGGCAGAGGGCAGATATTAAATATATATATATTATAAATATATATAGTGAATATAAAGCACTATGCAAAATATTCTGAGTGGCTTGGATATCTTTGTTCTCAGAATGCTATGGTACATACTTTTTTAGCTTAGCCAGTTAATCTTCATTGAACTTGTGAGAAACAAACACAAAAACCTTTCCTGCATTACAAGAAGCCGTTCTGGAAGCCTCTTGCAAAACATAGTCTAAAGGGAATCTTTTGTTTGTTAATTTTTAATGGATTAGTTGAATTCTTCTTGTTTCAATTTTTAAATTCATTCTTTTAAACTAAAAATGATTTTTTATGTCTGCATTTCAGTTGATTTTCTACTGAAATTATGTCACAAAGCAGTTATTTGAGGAAAAAACCTTATCTTGGCTGTGATAGAAGACCATCCCTAAAGCTAGTGTATTCTGATGTTGTAGGTGAAAACTGGCAGCAAATGCTTGTGAATAGATTGTACCAGTTCATATATTGCTCCACTTCTCACACCTCTGCACTTACTCCTCTCCCTTATGTTTACCTACATATGCTGAACAAGCAAGGGCAGTGTAAGCAAGTGAGACAGCAGCTATTTCTAAATCAACTCCTTTTTTGCAGTATTTTTGCAGACATCTACTGAGACTCCACATAAAGCAAACAGCAAACCCCTTGGGACGATATCTCAGGTCTTAGACTGATATCTGCAAGTAGGATAAAATAAAGAGCGCACAAATATATTGCTGCAAAAGTCAATGTTTACCTCGCAGGTTTTGATATGTTCCTGTTCCCACTCTGTCCTGACCTTATCCAGCTGCTCAATGTTCTGTTTGTACACGTTCTCTGTAAACACAGACACACATAATAGAAACCCAACCGTTAGGAAAGAAATTATACAGCCTTTCTCTTTTTCTTCCTATTAAGACTTTCTGTGGGTCTTGCACTTTAGGCCTGTGATTTGCTGGAGTATCACAGGAATGTGTGAGCTTGAAACCAGTGGGCCGCCAGGATATTTGGGGTTTTTTAATTTACAACTTTATACCAGAGTAAGGATTCTCCCTGCATGGTTTGCAGATCGTCTATAAACTTTACAGTGGGGATAATGCAAATCAGAGATGAAGAGCCTGGACTGTGCTTGGGCACTGAGCATCCTTAGGCTCTTTCCGTGCTGAGCCAGCCAGGTTAACCATGGAATTTAGTGTAAACTTTTACACGAGCACTTAGGGGTGATTGTGAATAGGCTCAGATGTCTGCTGGGCTCTCCTTGTGGACGTACACTGTGTTTCTGGCTGGAGAATTCTACCATCCCCACATAGAAGGAACCTGGGGACTGTGTATCTGGTTTGGGCTGGATGGGAGCAATCTGAGCGTCGTTCTTTTGTGCTTTCAAACTTGCTTCAAGAAGAGCTTTTCTTTCCTGGGTGAAGTCCCTAGAGGAAGTCTTCTGTTAATTCTCTAACGAAAGCAGGATGTTTGCATTTCCACAAGGGAAAATAAATGTAGATGACTATCAGGTTGCTGTTTTTCAGAAGTTTCTTCATTAATCTTTAGGTAGGTGACTGGGAAACCTGACTTCTAACAGAGCCGGCCTGGGTAACTTGGATGGTGCTCTATCAAAATCACTGTGCTGGTAGATCTTTGATGAGAAAAATCTTAATTCAGTTGCAAATAGGACATCACCTGCTTCATTTGCTGCGTCTCTGCATTGCTTGGCTTTGTTCTGGCTCTGAAACAGGAAAAGAAACACCCCAAATTAATTTCTGACCATATTTTTTTGCTTCTGCCACGGGTTTTTTGTTGCCTGCTCCCTTTCCCCTTCTAGAGGAAAGGCTCAAACTTGCAGGCGCTTCTTGGCTGTCCCGGCCTTATGAAGGGACCACAATTTCACAGATGCAGCAACAGGTTGACTGATTTCAAGGGAAACCTGGCAATTTGCATCTTTCCATTTGGACACGGCTGCCACAGGAGCTCAGCGCTAGTATGATCCAGCCTGGAGCTTGTGTCTGCTGGCTGAGTTGTTTTTTTTCCTCAAGCGTTTGATGTGCTTCTCTAATAGATATTTATAAGCAGAAATAAATGGCAGGTAAAATTCTTCATCTGCTGAGCTCCTCATGTAACACACAGATTAAAAGAACCCAGCCTTTAAAATACTTTGCGAATGCCAGACTATTTTCCATAACAACTCAGAAGCCTAAAAGCAAAATTCACTCTAAGTAGAACTTCTCTTTTTTAAAAAAACACAAAAACCTGCAGCTTTTAACAACTGAAAATACAGCTATTATTGACAGCTCTGTACTCCCAGGTCTTTCTGCACAGATGGTGATGACAGTACACTAATGCACAGCTCTAGACATCAGTATCACACATTCTTCCCTTCTGCCCTTCAAGACAAGGCTCAGGTAGGGGTTCTTATGACCGTATTCCTCATCACAGCTGGCTGGAAAATGTGTAGTAAGCTGGGAACATAAGCTTCATTCTTATTTGCTTCCTGGCCCGAGCTGTTTGCGAGCGCAGCACAGAATGAAACAGCTGACATGTTTCTTGTGAGATGCCTCTCTGCATTTCAAATGTGCTGGCATATGCGTGGAGGTAACGGCAACAAAGCACCCCAGGATCCTTCTGCATGAAAGGAGCTGGGTCAGGTTTTGATGCCAGGGAAGCTGCTGAGTGTTCTGACAGAATTGCACTAGGGCCAGGGTTTCACCCCCTCTTTACAGCTAGGCTTTGGAGGGTTTTGTTCATCAAAGGTTAGTGAATGCTGGAAATAAAATGTAAAGTTCTGATGCCGTTTTTAGCCTCTCCATCCCCCCGCTCCTTGAGATGATTTTTGATCCTTTTTGCTTACACTGCACTGATTTTTATCGAGCCAAAGGGAGTTCGTTTATTTTGTTTTCTCCATCTGTTCCACTGTAAAATGTTCCCATTAAAAGTTAGTGAATTGTCAGCTACAAGTATCAAGACGATGCAATGAAGGACTGCAGTGCCTTAATTTCCAATGATTTATTTTTGACTTTGTAAATTTAGTTGAAATTAAACTAACTATAAGGAGAAAAATGTTAAGGAAAATATGCATTTTAATGTAGGAGTCTATGCCTACTAAATGCAAGCGACCAAAAGGCAAAAGTAACTGCATAACGTACTTCTGACTTGTTGGCTTTTTTTTATGAATAATTCTGGAGAAAAATCTCATTCAGTTTCCCTTCAGGATTCATAGAGCAATTAGGTCATAGCCTAGGATAAATTAATTAGATAACTTGGTCCCTTCCCTGCATTTTTAAAAACCCTTGGCCTATTGCAGAACAAGATTGCAGTTACCAAAGGAGTTTGTAAAGGAAGACTTCCTTGGGAAGGTGCTTTGTTTTGATTTTGATTCCAAGGGGTGGGTTAAAAGGGAAGGCAGCCCCTGGCATCCTGCAGAATGGGCTGGTCAATTGTATTCTCTTGTACCTTGAAAAGGAAAAAAAACCAGAGTTTTCTTTCTAAATAGCGCTGTTGTCCAAGGTACCTTTTCTGTTTGTTTCTGGTTGCCTGAAGCACTTGTTCGTTCAAAGGACTGCTCGGCCTCGTCCGCTTCCTTGCACTTCTGTTCATAGGTCTTCTTTGACTGTATGGAAATGGAATCAAACGTGAGGGCTTGGGTTAGGGAACAAGGCTGGGCTGTCTCTAGCGTGATGTTCTAGGCATTTTCTGTTTTGCAGTCAATCTTGGGGAGAAAATCAGTGCCCAGGTTTGGGCAACAGAAAAAATTGCCAATGGCACCATAAGGAGATAAAACAATAGGCCTGAGAAATTGGGCATAAACTGGGCTCTTTCCTCACAGCTCTGAAATTGTTTGCTTTGTATGATTGTAGCCAGCTCCCGGCAGGAGCGGTCATGAATACACAGGCAGCACTAGCACCGTCGGTGCATCAGGCATCTGTCTGAGCTACAGGGTAGAGACAAAATTAGGGGCCTGCATCCCCAGGGTGCCAGTGGGGAGGGGTTGTCATTTCCACAGTGTGACCTAGAGCATCAGGTGGCTGAAGCCAGTGTGTTGCCTTGTCCATTGCTCCAAGCTGTGAGACAGAGCCAGCATCTGTAGGTAACAGTCTCGGTGCGGTCCTCGGAAGCAAAAGAAATCCTTATTTGCACCAAAAGACCTCCCTGTCTTAGAGCTTCACTTAGAACAACCACATTTAAATAAAAGCTGCTAGTACAGTTCCAGCTGGAGCACTGAGGGGTCTGCAACTCTTCTTTAGAGGCAGTTGCCCACTGGAAATCAAAACCAGCTGCCTGCAGTTCCTGTACCTGCAAGCTTTCCAGTTGGAGAGGTTTCCTCCTGTTTACAAGATTCCCTTGCCGTTTTTAAAATTGTATTTACACAGACTGAAAAATTGGACTTGCTTCTGAAAGTATCCTGTTGCCTAGAAAGAATGAAATCCTGGGTGACCTGGGGCATTGTTTGTTCCACATTAACTTTCTAAGTTAATTCTGACTCTTCAGTGAGTGCAGCAGGGAAGATTCGCTTCCTCCTTGTAGGAGGAATCTCTCTCACACATGATTTTGCACTCTTACACACTCACACATTCTTGACACAGGTACATGTAATACAGATTTCATCCTGTCTCAAACTGGACCCAGTTTGCATAAAAAAAACCTGCACAAAACCTCCTTGCTTACCTCCATTGTTTTCTTATAATGGGACAACTTGCTCTTCTGCATGCGCTCCATCGCAGACTCATACTGTAAGACACACACACAAGTAAGCATTTCTTGCTTTTGACTCCCTCCCTCCCCTTCATGCCCCCTTTTTTTTAGGGGCAGAATTAGAAAAGCCATTGTCAGAGCCTTTCTGTGAGCCACGTGCCTGTGGGGAAAATGACTTCACTCTGCTTTTATAAAATGACAGGTTTCTAAATGACATAGAGAATCGAAGTGCCAGGTAAAAAAAATAATCCAAGATAATTCTGCTTCAGTTGTTTCCATTAATAGCAAAGAGGATGTAGATCTTCATTTTCTTCCTCCCTTTTTTTTTTTTTTTTTTTTTTCCCTTAAAGGGGGACCAAAAACAAAATGTAGCAATTCTTAATTTCGGGTAGAAGGAAAAAAAAAAAAAAAAAAGCCAGCCATGCAGCGAGACAGCCATGAGCAGACATCCCGGTTCCTGCTCTGTGGGATGAAGCTGTCAGCCAGGGTGGAAGGAAACAAAAGGCACTGATTAAAACAAAAAGCCTAGTCGGCGGGTTCCACCATCAGTACATAATAAGTCTCTCTCTCTTTTTTTTTTTTTTTTTTTTTTTTTTTCCCTTAAGGAGATTAAATAGCGTAACACCCAGTCACAGCACCCATCAGCTCTGCCAGCAGAGTTCCTTTCCTGGTTCAAGAGCTTGATCCTGCATCATTGCAGACCAAACCACTGTCCCACCCACGTGAGCAAGGGTAGTTGTCTGTTTTAAATACAAACAATTCCTCTGTAATTTATATTCCGTTGCTGCTGGCAAATTTATGCTTGATGCAATTTGATTTCCTTTTCGTCATCTGGTCAGCATTGGAAGGACAGTGCTGATTTCTCTATTATGGCTTTTGTTGTGATATGCTCAGCCTTATGTGACAGTGAGATATGCTCTTGTTTGGCGTGGGTTTCTTCAGTGGGACTTTTGGTCCTTTAATCTTTATATTCCGTTCAAGCAATGCTCTTTCCAAGGCTACCCAGAGGCGTGCTTCACATCGGGCTAAATAGCACTGAGAGCAGCTACAGCGAAACACAAATCACAGCGTTTTGGGAAGTTACCAAAAATGCTGACACCGTCTAGCATGTCTAATGTTGACTTCCTCACTGCCACGTGCTGGAAGGAGGAAAAAAAGCCTGCCTAGGACTCCAAAGCAGGTTTTCCCTTTATTCCAGGCCCTGCTAACTGTTTCCAGTTGAGTTATAGACTTATTGTTTTTAATAGGAGAGAAAGCCTCTCTCTTTGCAAATCCTAATGGCAAAGTGGTGGGGGGGATACAAATATCTGTCTTTATGTGCCTTGTTTGCTTCATCAGATTGCTGTGAGCCTCAAAACTCAGTAGCAGCACTGGTTTTACCCACTCTCATATTCAGAGTTCCCTACCATTCGAAGTTCCTGTGTGGCAGGGTTGTAGGCACCAGATCTTTGTGGCATTGGATACTGGTCACGTGCATTTTCATTTGTTGAAAACTAGAAAAGAACTGGATATTTTATTTGAACCCTCCGTCAATCAGTGCTTTTAGTATTCACTGACTGTCCTGTATTTGTCTTCAATCTTGTGGAACCAGAGAAGGTGTAAGAGTGAACACTGTTTTCTCTACTGAGAGCTGCTTTTTCAAGGGACTTAGAGCTTGGTAAGATCACGGGGGTTGAAATGGCTTTAAATACACTCACATTTTTATTATGCAACATCAGCTAGATGCTATTTGTAACTCAGCAGATATTGGTGTTGCATTCAGCGTGGTATTTATTTCTTTCATGTTTTTAAACATTTGTGCTACCCCTTTATTTTAGTGCATGTGGGAGATCATGCAGGATCATACCAAAGAAACCCAATTAGCAAGTGTATAAAAAGGAGAAAAGGAAGGATTAAGTTCTTACAGGAATAAGAATAGTATCCACAGTTACACCAGAGAGAGTAAAAGTGACTAAAGCCTCTGTCTCCTGAGTTCAGAGCACTACTTTATTTCCAGCTGGGATCAGAAAGAGATTTTCTTCTGCAGTCTGGTATGTGGAGTGCAGAGGGCACACTGGGCATGTTTTATCATCTTTTGCAGTATTCAGAGCCTATGGCTGGAGACAGGTCATCTCCACGGCCCATTGACCCAATCAGTTTCAACATTTCTCTAGTCTCTCACCTTTTTCCTTTGCTCCTTCTGTCTTTCTCGGAACTCCTCTATTCCTTTCAGTTCATCCTTCAGCATTACTGCCAGCTGGATATGGGAGTTTCCAACACTTTCGATTTCTAAAGATAATCAGAATGCACATACAGTCAGGGGAAAGGTCTTTAAATCTGAAATCACATTTTTCAGGAGATGCTTCTGGGATGTGGCTGCCGTACAACTTGTCGTGAACAGGGCAGCCTGAAAAAAGGCCTTTCTGTGTTTCTGCAGGCAGTGACATGGATGAGGGTTCACACAACCTGAATAGGTTGTGTGGTCCTCCTGGTGTCTGCAAAGCACATGGGCAAGGCTCCTCCCTATAGACATGGAGCACCCACTCAGAGCAGCCTTGGCAGGTACAGAGCCCCATTTACCCCCCCTTCCTTCTGGGGCTGGATTGTGTGGAGGGAGAGAAGGAGCTCTGACCTCCATCGTCACCCCCTGTGTCTGCTTTCCCTCCCTACTCTGCTGGATTGTCATCGCTCTTGGGAGCTGCTTGCCAGTCACGAGCAGCCTTGCACAAATGTCATTAGAGGAGGTTGCAAGCTGAGAATTTCCAAGGGTCAGGAAAGACAGATTGAATTTCGGAGCACCTGGCTGCTGCTGTTTGAAGTGCCTGGTAACTTCTCACATTTGTCAGCTTTGGTGCCCTCTGAAACAGAACCCTGCATTTTCCAGAAATGCTGAGCTCCCCCACCCAGGCACTAAAAGTACCTTAATTCACCAGCTACTTCTCAAAAGGGTGTTTTTATCTAAACAGCAGGTGCCGGTACCCAGGTACGCTGTCCTACTGACTCTGGTGGTGGTGCATTTTCCCTGTGTGAAAGGTTTTTGTTCAGCTTTGGGCCCATCTAGAAAACATGCTGGTTTGATGTCAATGGTGCGCAGAAGAGATAACAAAGCTGATGTTTTGTGGCTTGATTCAGATAAAACTAACTTGAGGAACAAGCCGCTTTCTTTGCTACCAGAGTGTGGATTGAGTGCCCAGTCTTGGAGGGCTCCCAGTGAGTGTCTTTTCCCTCCACTCTCCATGTTACAGACTGGGACAGAGCAGTTGGAAATAGAGGGAGGAAGAGGATGAGAGACCCCAGAGGGGATGAGCGCATTGTGTGCCTGTCTTACCCAGGTCAGAGAGGAAAATGTAAATACTTACGTTGCTTGAGCCTCTCAAATGCTGCCTTCAGTGTGCTGTGGGGCAGAAACAAGGGCACTTGATTAATATAGGCTTCCAAGGATGGGTTGTGAATCCAGAGAAAAAAAAATTTCCCTCAATCTCAAAGATCCACATAGAGATAAAACTCTTAATAGTCTTGTAATAAAAGTTGACCATGCTAACAAGCACAATAGCATCAATCTGTTACCATCAGGAAATGCAATAAAATGCTCCATGAAGCAAGGAATTGCACTATTCCTTATGTGCACCCTCTTGTTTTAATCCCACTGTATTTGTGGCTGTGGATGTCAGGCAGACGTTTCTCTATTCTTGCACCTTTCCAATGGGTACAAGTCAAGAGAATGAGATAAAGATGGTCAAGGGGAATTGGGTTTTGGAGCATTAATCTGAAAGGCAGAGCAAAACCAGCTCCACCCTCTGTGTTGAATGCAGCACCAGCAATTTTTTCCTCCCCGGTCACCCTTGAAGCTAGAGCAGCTCTGCTATGCAGCATCCTCCCTACCATGCTTTCCGAGCACCCCCGTGTGGCACAGCTCGCTCTCCTGGAACAGGCTCACAAATGGTGCACAGAGCCTACAGAGGCTTTGAAACCCTCATGTTCCTGCGGGGTTTTGGCATCCCAGAATAAACCACGCTGTGAAATCCAGCCCCGGTGCTGGGCTGGGAAGCACAGCATGGAGATGAGCAGAAAGAGATGTTATGCTGCTTATCCGGGTGGACCTACGGAACTAAGTGGTCCTACAACGTAGAGTTCCAGAAGGGCACAAAAGGGTAATGATAGATTGTCTGATGTCCGGGTTTTGGGCACACCAGAGTCCGTTTTAATAAAGCAGCAGAGATACCAGCATGGAAGTGATGGGAGAGGAAAGAGCATAGGCTGTAAAAGGCATTTTCCACTTAATAATTTCCTCTAGCTCCGAGTTCGCAGGCTGGCAGAACGTTTGTTAGACAGAAGCCAGGGCTGTGATGTGATTTGGAGGTTTTTCAGATTTAGGAATCATCTCTTCAAGACCCAGAGTGTGGTGTTCCCCGAGGGAAACAGTTCTGGGATCTCCGTGGAGCCCTGGTCTACCCCAGGAGGGAGCCCAGGGGAAAAGCCTATTAATGAAGACCCTAAAGTGTCCCTGGCTGAAGGCTGGGTACCAGGAGAGCCCAGAAGAGGGTGCACAGCACTTCCCAACCATGTGTGACTGCAGATGGGGAGGGAAATCCTGTATCTCCTGGGCCATTTCAAGAGTCTTAAGAGACACATGAAGGATCCTAATTGCCCTGTGTTAATTTAGGCTGGACATCTGTTTCCTAATCAAAGCTTGCTCTCCCAGCAGCAAGGCTGCCTTGCCAGGCATCAGAAAAATGCGCAGGCAAGGGGCTGTCCTCAGCGATAACTGCCCTGCAATCCACTTCCAAACCTAAATTTATAGAAATGTGGAAAAGACTTTCAGCCAGAAAAGATGAGTATTGAGCTAACTGTTTGATTCTTCCAGCTTTCAACTAGATTTGTTGTGGTGAATCTCCTGAGATAAGTCAGGGAAAACGTAAGAGGAAAAAAAAAGAGCCCGGTGTGAAATTTTGAAGGAAACTAAATTTTCACAACACAAAGGAAACAAACAGTATTCTTTCCAGCAAGGTTAATTAAAAAATTGAAATGTCTGAAATAGGTAAATACTGGAATTAAAAAAAATAGAGGATGCTTGCAAACTGCACATACCCTTTGCACGCTGTGTTGGTCTGTTGTTCCCAGAGATTTTTTGCCTTTGCTGCTGGTGGTTCAGGTTATGCAAAGCCTGGAAAAATTGCTGTCGTGGATACTGAAAAATAGCGCTTTCTCAGTGCATATCAAGGACAAAAGCAATTTGCTGCTTTTTTGGTTTCCAAGCCTCTGAGCTAGCAGAGTAGTTCTTGATCATAAGCCATACGTGAAGCTTTTCTCCCTTTTTGCTGGCTCTCTGTAAGGACAAGTGTTTCTTCTGGTGTAATAATGCATCTGGCTATGAGCTGGGGAGAGACCAATTTGCCCCTTGCGTGGTCTCTAATGGCCTTTTCAGAAAGCTCTGGCCTTCTGCTCCTTGTATGAAAGATTTGCCCAGCCAGTTCCCCAGCTGCTGACTGGGGCAAGGCCACAGTCCGTTAGTAGATTGAAATAGACTTAAGCCATTTCCTTCCTTATTTTTATAATAAGTTTCTAAAATCAGTGAATCGGCTGCCTCATCCTTATGGGGCTTAAGGGAGTAGCAAATACATCACTGTGCCCAGCTAGCTGTGGGAGAGGTTAAATAAATGACAATTTGACCCGTGGATCCATCAGGTGTTCCTTCATGACCTGTGGGCTGCGAGGGTGTGCGGGCACTCAGCAGGGCTATAGATTAGCTCCTCCTTGGTGCTGGATGCTCTGATTGTATCGGTGAAATATATCAGTTCACTGTTTTGGAGGCTTTAATGGAAGCAGCGAGTTTTAATTTTGTCTGTGCTGGTTTGTGTGTACAAGTATCTATTGCCTATTTCTTCTGGGTGGGTTTGAATTTCTAATAGGGCTTTATTCTGAAGCACCCAAAGTGAGGATGTCTCACTCTCATGGACACTTTAAAAGATTGTTTTATCCTCTTAGTATATTATTCCACTTAGCTTTATAGTAGTAATTGATTTTTTTTTTTGTTTGTTTGTTCTGTGGCTAAATCAGAAAACCTGGGCTTGAAAATAATTCAAGCAAAACTGAAAATTTGCAATTTGCCTCCATTTTAATTGCTCACTTCTGACATTTCTGTGTGGATTGTGGAAGACTCCAAGTGCTCCAGCTGAAGGCAGAGCACCAGCCTTCCCCTTGGGCATCCCCGCCTGGAGCCTCCCGCAGACGCCTCATTGAAAATAGGGTTGGACACAAATTTACTCTCCGTGTTTGTTCAACGACTCCCCACCGGACATTTAAAGATTGGATTTGTCAACATGAATTTCTGATGGAAACAGGATTGACTTTGAATCCGGAATAACGGGCACCAGGTAGAGCCTGTGCAACGGCTTCGCTGCAGCAACTTCTGGTGATTTTTGCCATCTAGTGGCTAAAATATTCTTGCCGTTTTTTGGAATTCCGACCCTGGCTGCTGCCTTCATTTGCTGTAGTCTCCCGCTACGCGAAAACAGCAGAATTGAGCTGCTCTTATAAAATATACATGTTTCAGTGGGTTTTTTTTTAAAGTGGAGGGGGAGAAGGAGAAATAGAAGAGCTTTTGGGAAACGGGGGAACCAAGGGAAGGAGCTCATTATATCAAAGCTCATCCATTGTTCAACATTCTTGTTCTGTAGATTGAAAAATACCTTCCAAAGCGAATTTATCCAAATTTACCCAGCACACTAAAGCTGAAAAGGCAACCCTGTGTGGCACTGACCACTAGTCCTTGTGGCTCTCCTCTAACAGGATAAACATTTATGGAATGCATTGTTTGAGAGCTTGGTTTGATTTTTCTCCCAGCAGAACCTGTCCCCTGCTTTCAAGGCAGAAAAAGCAGCCTGTATTTGAGCAGAGGTGCCCTGTTTGGCATTTGCCCACCACTGCAGTACAGGTATGAGGAGCAGCAGGGGACATCTGATCATCAATCCATTTTACTCACTCATTCTCTGTGCCAAATTATCTGATAGTTGATTCAGGAGGGGGACTTGGTTGGAACAGCGTGGGGTGACAGCACTTCAGAGTGAACTTCTACTGCTCTCTGTGTTTGTGTTCTCTCCCTTCAGTTTTGGACCTTGTTTTTGCTAGAGAACTGGGCTGTTGCTGGAGAGCAGGCTGCGCTGGGCACCTTTCCAATGGTGACACGGGGACTACCAGGTCAAGTACTGTAGGCAGGGCTTTGGTACCTTCTGCTTCACAGTCATCACAAGCTGAATTTATGGCACCAGAGATGTAATTAGCAGAGGTCTATCAGTGGTAGTGCTTAGGTCACAGGTATATTCACACTGTTGACCACACTCTTTTTTTTCTTTTTTTTTTTTTTTTTTAGTAGGCTTGATGGTTTGGGCATTTTTTCAGCACTTTGCCTTTGGAGACTGGTTTAACTGAGTAATTCAGAGAGTCTCTCTTTATATCTTGTACACAGGAAGGTAAACCAGGCCCTTCTAAGCGGAAAACCACAGCCCTTAATTAATTTTCTTTCTTTTCTATCTTTGCTCAGTGAATAGGATTGTGAAATAACCCAGCCTTTCTTTCTGGTAGGTTTCCATTTTAACATTAATATGATCTACACTGTTGTGTTCTTATTGTAATCTTTAAAAATATTCTTTCTGAAATGGAGAGACATCTCTGCTGGATGAACTCCACAGACCACTTTGCAGCAGTCCTACTCACTCTCTGCCTCCGGGAACATGGTTATGAAACCAACCCAATGCCAGTCTTCTCTGAGGTCATGGCTAACATCTGTCCTTCCTCCTGCCACACAGGGAAGACCAAATGTGGTTTTACCAACATTTCTTTCTGTGAAGCCCAGCGGTGGTTGCAAAGTGTGGGGAAATAAGTTCAGGAGCATCTGGTCTCAAATAATTTGCACCTGGAACTCTTGTCTTCATTGGGGAAAAAAAAAAAAAAAAAGAAAGGGGGGGTGTTGTGCTCTTAGTAGCAACACATGTGGAGAGTTCCTCTAGTGCTGTGGTGTGTCTGCGTTCATGTTTTGCTTCTGGTCCTTGGGTATTTTCCGGTAGGTGTTAGAATCAGAAGCAGCCCCAAGCTGAATGGGAAGGGGGCTGTGTCATCACTCCCAGGGCTGGTTACAGGGGACACATCACCCCAAACTTTACTGGGGCAGGGGAGCAAACGGGATGGCATCTCCATGTACCTTCTCTCCTTGTAAATCTGCGCCCATAGACTACAAATTAGACCTGTGTTACTCTGGGATGACCTATGTCATTCGAGTCAAAGGATAAAACAATCAAAACAAATCTTATACCTTTAACATAAAACTACATTTCCCCATGTCTCTTGGAAAGAGCAGCGCTGCTCAAAAGTGCCTGTCCTCATCACCAGAGAGGTTAT